CCCCCCCCTTCCTGGCTTCCTCTGTCTCGCCAACTCCCCTGTTCCCTTTGTCTCACCCACTCTGTCTCCCTCTCTCTGTCTCTCTACCTCTTCCTCCTCCCCATCCCACACTCGCTCTATATCTCTATGCCCCTTTCCATCTTTTTCTCTCCCACTCCACATGTTCTCTCTGTGCCCCACACCTTCCCTCTGTCTGTGTCTGTCTCTCTCTCTCTTACTCCCCCCAACTCCCCTCTCTTTCTCTCTCTCTCCCTCCCACCTTCCCCCCCCCGCTCCCTCTCCCCCTCCCCCCCCCCCCCCCCCCCCCCCCCCAACACTCCCTCCGTCTCTTTCTGTCCCTCTCCGTCTTTCTCTTCCTCCCTGTGTGTCTCTCTCTCTCTTTCCCTCGCACCCACCTACACATTCCCTCTATCTCTCTCTCTTCCCCTCCCCCAACTCTCTGTCCATCCCACACTTCCTCCATCTCTGTCTCTCCCTCCCCTCCTCCCTCCCCCCCCCCCCCCCCCCACTCTCCTCATGTCTCTGCTTCCCTCTGTCCCTCTCCCTTTCCCCATCTCTCCACCACCACCCCACCCCTCCTCTCCCCTTCGCTGTCTGCAGGTTTTTGGGTTGGAATTAGTGGAAATTGATGCGAAAACACATGCCTACATTCTGGTGAACAAGCTGCAGCGAACAGAGGGCGACACTATGAACTGGTAAGGTGTGCTGTGCCCGAAACGTGCTTCACCAGTTTGTCAGCCATGGCGCTGAGGCATCTCCACCCATAGAGTGATGCTTGTAACTGAAGCCAAAAGTCTAATGTTTACAGCGTTGTTTGTCTGACCAACGTTGTCCAACACCATCTGCCATTATCCAATCGATCGAGATCCCTTTGTAATGCCATATAACTTCCTTAGCTGTGCGCTTTACGTCTTAGCGTCATCTGCAAACTTGCTAACCATGCATCAAAATAATTCACATAAAGTGATGAACAGAACCGCTCCCTGTAGAGCGCCACTGCTCACAGTCCTTTTTTTATTTCTCTTTATTCATTCACGGGACGAGGGCATCTCTGGCTAGGGCATCATTTATTGCCCAGAGGGCAGCTCAGAGTCGACCACGTCATTGTGTGGGTCTGGAGTCACATGTAGGCCAGACCAGGTGAGGATGGCCGTTTTCTTCCCTAAAGGACATTAGTGGACCAGCTGGGTTTCTCCCAACGATCAGCAACGGATTCACGGTCATCGTTAGACCCTTAATTCCAGATATTTTTCTGGAATTCAAATTCCACCATCTGCCGTGGCGGGATTCGAACCCGGGTCCCCAGAGCGTTATCTGGGTCTCTGGGTTAATACCCCTAGGCCATCACCTCCCCTTGCACACAGCTGCCTGACCATTCCAAAGCACCTTTGTACTGACATAACTGCATTGTTGATGCTTGTCAGGGCTAACTGGAAATCTCACACCGTGCTAGCAACAAACCTTTAAAAGCCTTGGAAAGTTACACAGGACACTGCCCTTTAGAGCCGGACAGGCCAAAAATTCCATTGAGCGGATAAAAACAAACAAAAAAGAAACGTGGGCCAGGCTTCTCTACGGGATAAAAATGGCCATTGATCACAGATAAAACAAGTTTGTGGCTACAGGTAAATAGCATTGATCTGTGCCAGTTAAAACTGTAACTTGCTTTGTAAACGAGCCCTGTACAGACAGAGGAGGAAACATTGGAGGTTTGGATGGAGGGGGAAGACCGAGGGAGGCAGCTCAGTTATCACCGTTCGCAGGGTTTCGCGGAGTTAATCCCTCCCAGCTCCCCACCCCCACCGTGATGGTGAGGAGCTGCTTCTTGAGCGTCCTTCTCTGGATGCTGGCTTGAAGAAGGCGCAGGGTGGCTGGTTCCCGCTTCGAAAGGGCTCCTGCCTCGCGAGCTTGCAGCGACCGATGAAGGGGGAGGGAGGTATTTGAGGCTGCCGAGCAAAAGCAGAACCCCTTCTCTCCCCTCCCCCCAACACCTACCCTTTCCTCCTCCAGACGTCTGATGGTTTTATGCGGAGCCGTCCCGGCTCCCCGGGAACCAATCACATTTCAGGTGAGCGTCTCTGGAGTTGTCTCTCTGTGCTCTCCACAGTCGAAGAAAAGAGAAAGAGCTTCACCCTGCCAGACGCCATCGTAACGCTGCGACTCGGAACTGAACCCTTCAGAGACTTTTCTGAGTGGGAGCCAGTCACCCTGTGCCTTTTGCGCGGGGCCAGTCAGAGCGTCTGCGAAAGGAAAACCGAGAGAGAGAGAGACATCGCAGCAGATCCCTAGGACAGGGACGGCTGAGCTGCAGCGATACCTCCCAAGTGGTTGGGGCATGCAGCCGTTCCTGGGGGTGGGGTGGGCGGCAGGGGTGGCGGGGTGGTTCCGGGTTCTCCCGACCTTGCCAGCCTTGAACATCGAATGCACGTGCTGTGTCTGGAGAAACGAGGGGGGAACCAAAGGTGAACTGTTTCCCCAGTCTTTCACTCAAACCGTAACACCCATTTCCCCCCTGCCCCACCAAATTTGTATGTGTGTAAGTGGATCGAGGGGAACGGGGTAAAGAACCAGAGGGGGAAGATGGATCGAGGGGGAACGGGGTAAAGAACCAGAGGGGGGAGACGGATCAAAGGGGAACGGATGGAGGGAGAATGGGATAGAGAACCAGAGGGAGAGACGGATCGAGGGGGAACGGGATACTGAAATGGGAGGAAGAGCAGCTGGATACATTGGGGATCTCCTTCGCTGTTGACACTGGACTGGAATGACACTTGCTGTGCTGTTCCAGAGTGTCCCGTTCTGTTCTCCCGCTCCCAGCTCGGTGCTATGGTCAGCGATGGCCTGCCTTGTTCTCTGTATAAAGCTGCTGTTGGTGTTGAATTTTCTAGGGGCGATGCTACACCCAAGATGGGGCTCCTGATGGTCATCCTCTCCATTATCTTCATGAAGGGCAACGTGCTGAAGGACTGTAAGGACATTTCTGTTCACGTGTCTGCTGTCAGAACCAGCTTCTAGGCATTCCTTCAGCCTGGCTAAACCCCCTCCCTATCTCTATCACCTGCTCCCGATCCCCTACACCCCC